TATAAATTCACTTCGAGCTAAATAAACTCAATTTATTTATTGCACGCATAACGAAGAAATAAATTATATTTTAATTCATCCGCGCTAAAAAAAATCCAAGAACTATTTTTTAGGTAATTTTCATTTTTATCTGATAATTAAGAAACAAACAAACGATAAATCTTTTGCCCTTGATTATTGATAAGATAAAACTCATTTCTTTAGTAAAAAAGCAGGGGACTATTTCTTCTATACATTTCGTATATGTTTGTATAAAACATTGAAGTTGAGATAAAAGTACAATGTTCTTAAGCTGATAATACATTATCGTAAAACAAAGTTTTTGACATAACTATTGACCCAATAATTAAGTTTAAGTGCTATCGTGAAAGCTTGCTCTTTGTTTTCAAGAGTCTTGATTCTAGACTTTGCCGCCACGAACAACTAGTACACGCAGTTTTCAATGTATATAGTATTACATGTAGCAGCATTATATTTATAATTGTCTTCTACTTTATTATTACTCTGTGGATTGTTATAGTGAATCAGATGTGTTTCAGGTTATCTGTATGAGAAATGACGCCCCTCTGTTTTTGTAAATTAAACAGCCATACTCTAAATCAGTTTTAAAAAACTGTACTTTTATTTGTAATATTTCTAAGGGACCTAATATTAACATCTAGTTCACTGGAATGATAACCATTACGATGAATGTCCAAAAAGACATGCATATCTGACTTTAAAAATCGCAATATATCGCAATATATCTTGCGTAAAGACATTCTAGTTGATATTTAGAATAAAACGATTATTTATATGTATCGTATAAGCATTTGTGTCATTTTCCTTTCTTTAATGAACTTTATTTCATTAATATAACATTTGAGTCTATGTCACAAATGTCAATATTTATCATATATAACGGGTATATTCACATCACTGTCACAGTTTGAAATAAATATGTCAGACAATATGTTTAAAAACAGAGCACATCTAAATACAAATGTACTTAATCGGATTAGGTGTGGTGGATTTTCAGACGTTATGAAAATTGCTACACTTCAAAGTCTTCCGAATACTTTTTAATGATACAGACAAGTCGAATCATAACAGAAAATTATAAAATTGACATTTCTAAGGAAAACGGATGTCAGACTTTTCAAAATGGTACCAGTTGAATACATAGAGATGCAAAATACACCATTAAGTGGATTTTACTTAGAATAACGTAATATGTCAAATAGTGTGTTTTTTCTTCTCTAAATACCCCGCTATATGAGCAATTGAATCCTATTCGAATCAAGAATGTATGACAATTTGTTATTTTTGTTAGTGCTTTAGTGGTTTTTTACAGACACAATTAATGAATTATTTCATTCAATTAAAATGCCGTGAGTTGCTCTTAAGTGGAATGTATCAATTGTTGTATCGTTGGTACAACGTATTTGCTTCATATATAAATCTGAGTCTGAGTTGATCAATATTAAGGTAAATGAAAAAGGTTGTTGAAGTACTGGTCAAGTTCAAGTCACTTTATTGATTCGGTGGCACTGTTTAAAATGTAAGTTTAACTTATTGATAAAAAGTAAATTGGGCTACAAAAGAAGGTATGTAAAAGAACGCATAATTACGCTGATAGTACATAGTATCAAATAATAAAATAAACCACGAAATAGTAATACATGGAGGATATTGTCAAGTATGAGATACATGATCTGGCATTACACATATATTTATATAGTGAATAACAATTTATAATAATTATTCATTATAAACATGTTTTTTGTAATTGTTTTATTTTGGAATAGGTATTTCAAAGATAAAGAAAATAATTCCATCCGAATCAATTATGATGGTGTAATTGTTTTCACTTTGTCAGATAAATTTAAAGAAACACATTTATTTTAACCTCGACACACTATTTTGGAGGTCCTTTTTCTGTTTCTTAAAGGTTTTGATACAGAAATGTGCACAAATGTATAGACTATGCAATGGAGATCTAAAATAAAATAGCTTAAGAAATTTTCAGATGGATCTCATATAATATGATTTATATGTAATAATGACATTCAACTCTTTTAAATGCATTTTTAAACATTGAAAAATATACTCAGCAATATGTTGGATGGTTATATCATGTTTATAAGTATAATTTCATCTGACAACAGATAGTTATAGGGAATATGAGACCATCAAATGTCGGTAATCAGGCACTGCTTTTAGTAAAAAAGAATAAATAAACCTGTCAAACTGAAATGATACCGGTATCAATCAAAGTTGTTTGAAAAACAGGGACGCCCCTATGTAATATTCATGATTAAATGATAACAGAATATAATTATTTAAAACTTGTTACACTTCTCTTGTTCAAAATGTCCTATTTTATAAGCAATTTGATCATAATCTATTGGCATTGCTTCACTGTGTGTGAAACATTTTTTGGGGCATTATCCTTCATGGAGTGCATTGACGCGACATTATTTCCTTTGATTTGCCATAAGTCGTCCTAAAATGTGATAAAACAAGCATGATTCATCTAAATATATTGTCCAAATTTAAAATATTTAAAGCTCGGTTAATTGAGCCTACCCATGGCAAAATTTGCAAATTTTAAGCTACTGACAACGTCTACTACTTGCATCGAGCATGAGGCAAATGTAGAATGCAATAGAAATGTGTGATTGATATACTTGTACTTGATCAATAAATCATAACATTGATTTTCTTTCTTTTTTCAACTACGTAGTCCTGGAATAGAAGTTAATTTTAAACACAAAATGCTATAATAGTTGCATTGCTGCGTTCACGACATAAAACCGGCTATCACAACTCTAAAGTCAAATCACGCTTTAACACACTTTAACGATATAATTTCTAATAGTATGACATGAAAAAATATAGTTCTTTCTCTGACACTTTGAGCTATTCTGCACAACATAGCTGTAACTTGTTAAAGTCATTTATTTTCACAATTACAGGAACTGGAAGTGTCTCAGCTTCGTGTTTCTTTATGATTATTATTTGAACATTGCAAATCTATTATATTTTCAAATGTTTCAAGTGTCAAACGTATATCCCGCAAAACTCTTTAAGTGTTTTATACAAAATTACAAAAACACATGCTAGCCATTTATTATTTATCGTTATAATGAATGAATCTTTGTTGTTCAATCTAGTCTTAATAATAATATCAAATTTTATAGCTAGTTATATAACAGTCTCAGTTTCCCATTTTTTACAAGTTGTGATTGAAAATAGAAAGCAAATCTCATCATATTATCCTCGATGGGATGCGGGAACTATTTAATGTCTGTAATAATCATTTATAAGTGTATTATTAACGTACATGCTTTTTAAAATTATGACAAGAGTTGAAATGCAGTTAGAAGAATGACATTTTAATATAACAGTGCTTATAAAGCGGAGCTAATTAGTATATTTAGTATTTTAATCCGTGATTTCGGTCTGGTATGTTAAAATATAACTATTGGAGAACGTTAAGTTAGGTAATTATAATAATAAATAATTCGAAAATTATCTCATAGACAATAGAAAATTTGTTGGTGCTTTGAAATTATTTTATACTCGTGTAATATCAATATTAACGTCCATCTAAAATTGTATAACAAAGAGTTGTACGACAAGTATATGAATACTTAATTGTTTGTTTGTATGTTTAATTAAGTTTTACGTCACACCGACACATTATAGGTCATATGGCGACGTTCAAGCTTTACTGGTGGAGGAAGACCTCAGATGCCCTTACATGCATTATTTCAGGCACAAACGGGCACCTGAGTAGAACCACCGGCGTTCCGTTAGCTAGCAGGTTAGCTTCCTTACATGAAAGAATCCAAAGTCCCGGTCGGGATTCGAACCCTCAGCGGTGAGAGGCAAGTGGTTTGAAGTTTACAAAATAATACAAAATATTATAGCTTGTTAAAAGAAAAGTGTTGCAGTTTCCAAATTTATCAAAGCTGTGGATGCACAATACATAGCAAACCCCGTCATATTATTTTCAATCAGATGCAAACACTGTCACACTGCTGGCCATCTGGGACATGTTTATTATATCTTTATATCTTGTCGTCATTAGTGTATTATTTTTGGATCATCATTTTTGTGTGACAAAAGACTTTTCTCCTCTGTACCAAAGTGATGTATTGCCCTCATGATAAATACTGATCAACAGTGTTTTGTAATCATATAACTTGCTAACTTCTATTGTCATGGAAAATGTTCATTTATCAAGTACATTCTATATTTTCTACTCCTTCTTACCTATGATATCAAAGCCATAGCAACGATCTATAACGGCAACAGAAGAAAAAAACAGTAGATACAGAGACTATTTTGTCATAACGCAAAATCTCTGAAGGGATTGAAACGTACATATTGTAAATATCAATTTTCTATATTTGTATATAAATATTGTATCACTGAAAAATAATGTGTAATATTTCTAGTGACTGGAATAAATTTGTAAACATACCAATCTAGTTCTTGTATATTATAACTGATAAATTGAAATCGATAAAAATTGCATACAAAAAATAATCTGAAAAACAATACAAAAAAATAAGAGAAAAGACATAAAACAATTTTACTGTAAATGTTTTATTAAGAAAACATTCTATAATACAAGATATAGATCAACTATTTACACTAAAATCCATAAGAGAAAGAATAAGTAACACACAGTAATACAAAAAAGGCGCATTTTGTCTCATCAAATTGCAAAAGAAAATGACGAAGACAAGAATTTATACGTTGCATATCTCCACTAAAAATCTTCTTTTTTTGGCCTGTAATTGTCTCTTATTTTTCTTGTAACATACATTTAGCCTCAAGTAAATTCAGAGAACTTTCAACATATCTGTCAGGGTCCTAAGCTAAGCATGTATCCTAAAAACTTAGTAGCTGGTATATATTTAAATTATGACTACCTTTTAACATGCACGAATCCAGTTCAGTAAACAACGTTTTGAAAAAGTACTAAATGTTTTAAAAACACGGTAATATTTTTGCATAAACAAAATTCAAAGACTATATATTAATTGTATATATAATTATACGTTTCACATGCAACATTTGGATTAAATTATTTTTATCACCATATTCCTCACCCAATTCAAACCAAGTTATCGTCCTTTTAATATAGTTTTGTCATGTTTATGACATATTAAAAAAACGGGTGAAATGTAAGGGCATAATTGTGCTTCATTAAAGTACTAATCTGTCCATTTTTTACTTTTTGAAAATAATTTCAAAATGTTTATGAACATTAACATAAAATCTCGAAACATCCGAAATTCTTATTCATTACTTTATGAAATGACACAACTGCTGTCCACTGTACGGTTGTCTGAAATAAAGAACATTTACATTTATATTTTAAGCATTGAAAGTGACTTTTTGTGAGTATGAATTTTACTTTGTGGTATTTTCTTAGTTGTAGGTTTGATCTGTCAAAACTAAGCATTATTTTGTCATTGTATTTAAATAATTGTTCAATTTCTATATTATATTTAATGTTTTCATTTTATACAATACTTAAGGCAAAACAATATTTCGTTTTAATACAGATTATTTAAAAAATATAACATATATTGAATTGAAAAATTGTATTAACACTCACTGATTTACAAAGTACATTCTACTGTTACGCACTTACTTTTGTCGGTTCTTTTAGTAATCACTTTATTACAGATAGGGCAATTCTTAAACATAAAGCAACACTTCTGACATGAAATCTTATGTTTACAGGGGAGAAAGCGAATGTCCGCACTAGCCTCGGAACATTTATGGCACATCTGTGCTGATGAAGTGAAGATCTCTTGCTCTACCTTAGCTGTGCTTGGCCTTGCTTTTGGTCTTTGTGCAACTGTTGGTTTGCTGACATTTAAATGATACATGTTTAAACTACCATATACATATGATACAAAATCATTCTTAACATGAAAACAGTTCTTTCTAAACAGAAACTGATAATAGAATTAATATGCATCGTAATTTATATAACACATTTTATTCTGCCATATTATCCTTTGTAATAAGGTATGACATGTTGCCGAGCTCATATCACTTCCCTCTTGTCGTTGTGAGCTCGAGTCCCGACACATTTTTTGGATTGTCTTTTGTAATAATGTAATAATCCCTTTTAAACTAGCTAACTAAAAACGTTGTTGAGTTTATTCTGCCCACAAGTGTGCGGCATAATGCACGAAGGGGAATTGGAGCGGTTCCTCCGAAAAACAGAAAAGCAAGAAATAAGCCATATGAACTTTATAATAGTTGTGCGGATGAAACGCTGCTATTGCAAATTGCCCTTTTTGATATAGCATTTAAAGCAATTAAAAAGACAAAACACACTATAAAATGTATATAGATAAATCAATAAACAAGATGTGATCCTACGGGATGGATCAATTTTCGAATAGTACTTTCTTACTTTTTAGCAGCAAACTCAGACACTGCTTCTCGCATATGCTCTAACTGACATCCAGTTATTGGCGTTTTCCCCTGGTTGTTTGTGATGTCAATACTAGCACCATGCTGAATCAGAAAGTTTGCTATCTTGATCCTTTCACTGTCTTCTGATAAGTTTCGCAATCCAAGTAATTGTAAAAACTGAAATTAAAAAGGTAAATAAATTAATAAAATGGATGGAAATACTATTTTGACAAATAGTTTTTCATTTGTTATATACCTTCATAGTTGCATGAAATATGTTCTTTTTACACTGATAAACAATACTCACTAATTCGTTGGTTCGTCTTCCAGTCATGCATAAATGCAATGCAGTATTCCCTTCGGCATCTTTTATTGACCAGTCAGCTCCTTAAAAATATTACAGGAATGTATTCTATAATGAACATATATCAATATAAAGCTCTGCATTAATGATAATATAAGTTAAGCGGTCTCATACTTAAAGACCTTTTATGCACCAAGATTTTTGTTTCTTAAAAGTTCCTTTTTAGGGGAGCGGGGTCATGTTATAGTTTTCTGAAGGTTACTCATTGGCAACTTATTTGAACCATATGTTATTGCTGTTACTTATTGGCAAGTGATTCAATATTTTGTATGGAAGTCAAAATACTACTTTGTTTACGTTTTGCTACTTAGGAGACACATTATTTCATATTCAGGGCTACTTTCTGCAGATAAAACCCATCTTACACGCTAACTTAAATATTATAAAACTCTAAAGAAAAAACAACAACAAATATTCGTTTCTGAGGCATCATGGTTGTGTCTTTAAATTATACAGTAATGTTTAAAAGAGTTATAGAACTGTACAGAAATGTAATTATATAATATTACAGAATAAGACTAACATTTTTTTTACTCATCAAAATTTTTAACCAGTACGAAAAAGCCCATGTTTGCAAGCTATTCTAACTGATGTCTCGAAAACCGTATGACACCAATTATATCACTGTTATCTTTTAAATGTACCTAAACTACTTAAACTATAGGTCGTATTATATTTACAAACACTGATTTACTTAAAAAAGTATTTTTTGTCTTGCGTTTAAAACAAAACTTTGTGTGGCGACTTCAAATGTATTGTAAGATTTCGTGTATGAATTCACATTACTGAAATAGCATATAACGTTATAACGAGGATTAAACATTTCTTTGTCAGTGGGCTGTTACAATGTACAGTGATAAAGTTTTTTACCACAGTGTATGCACTAAGCTGGTTTTACATTGATCGTACTTACCATATGTCAGCAACAGTTTGACCATATCAAAGTAAGCTTCCGAGGCGGCAACATGCAAAGCTGTTTGCTTCATTAGCGTTTTAGCATCAACGTCCGCTCTACCCTGTAAAATTGGATTCAGGAATTTTTCATGTAATATCAATGCTAAATAATAATCTGTAAAAGGTAAAACAAATAAAATAATGATAAAGGAAGAATTATTATCATTGTCATTCATTTGTAGATATTTTGTTTACTGTTATTTAAATCATCAGTATTCAGCTAGAGGTGCAGGTGCAGTGCAGGTATCTGATTGTGAAAACGTTTGCATAATTAAATGTGCGGTTTCAAATAAATCATGAAAGGAAGGTTGTTAATCTTTCAATGTCTTATTACCAGTGTTCGATAAAGGATACAAAAAAATCATTTTAAACAAGGAAAGGTTCTCTCAATACCTTGATAAGTAACACACTGGCTTCGTTGATATTGTTATTGATAGAGGCAATGTGAAGAGGCAAGAAACCGTCGGCCTTTGCACAGCTGACCAGTTTTGGATCCTTTGTTAAAAGTTTGTCCACGGCGCTTTTGAAATAATAAAAAGACAAACATTAATAAGTTCTAATATTAAGCAAAATCTATGATATATTGAAAACTTCATTTAAGAAATGCGAACTGACAAATATATTTCTAAATATCATACTGAAGAGATAATATATTTTTTTTATTTTTCTACAAATATACATATTTTAGAAATATTATAATTTTGTGATATAGTTTGCCGCGTTCTTCATTATCTGTTATTATCAGGCTCAATCAAACCTAATCTATCTTTTTAACTTGCGGTTCTCTTATTTAAGATGTCATTTAACATTGCTACATTTTTCAAAGTTTCACTCATGAATAATTATAATTTCGACGTATCAGCAATCTATAGGGTTACTAATCCCAAGTTTTCCCTATTGACCTTAGCGGGCAGACATACATCTGGACAAACAATTGATATGAATGTAAAAGAGATATATACCATGCGTGGCCTTTCAAGCACGCTAAGTGCATGACATTAAATTTTTTCATGTTTTGTAACCACACATCAATATTAGGATGCTGAATAAGAATAGTTGCTGACTCATCATGGCGTTCACTGATCGCGTCATGCAGAGGTGTGTCTCCAAGTACGTCCTGCATAGATAAAGATATTATCGAAAATAAAAAGGTTATAGCGGTACATGTCGTTCCTTTTAAAAGTATTTGCAAAAGCATACAAAATAATTTTAAAGACGAGTCGATATATAAAAAACGAGTTTTCATTTTCACATTTTCAATAAAAGACTTTTAATAATTTAAAAACAATGGTATGGTTTATGTTTTTCACTTTTCTAACTGAATCGAAACTACAAAGCATATTAAAACAGTTTTGTAAAATTGAAATTTTGAACTTCAAAAAAATGTTAAATCTGGCTATAGATGGTATTTGCCTAGTTAACTCTTTCTTGACAAAGATGTTATTAACATTTCTTTTAAACCTTATTATTGTTGTAACTAACGTTATGTATAAAGTCTGTAAGTCAAAATTCTTCTTCATAATAAAAGATTTCCATATATGATAGTTGCAAGATCTGTTCCTTAAAAAATAATTTATAAGTATGTTTTATCTTACTTGCAAGTTCGGATTACAGTCATGTTCCAGCAGTAGCTTTAGGACGGATGTCATATTTCCTGATGCAGCGGAGTGAATAGCTGTCCGACCATCTACGTTAGCAGCATTGACATCTGCGTCTTTGGTAATCAGAAACTTTGCGGCATCTCCTTTACCACTATATTGTATATGCGTTTTCTTTTATCATAGGTTGTCAAAAATAATATACTGATTCTATATTTTAAAACCAATTTACTTAAATATTGAAAGTTATTTTAGTGATATCACATTAAAGATTCTGAATAGAAATTCTGTGATTTTGTTGACGTTAGCAAGCATTATAATCAGTTTCTTCGCAATGAAGGAGAGACTTGATAAAGGATAAGTTGTTACATACAACTTCTTTATTTAATATCAATGGACAATAATCTGAGTATCATATGAATATCGAAGGAAAGGATCACGACTACGACGACGTATATTTAATCCTTAAAGTAAGTACATGTAAGAAATTTAAGAAAAGACTGTGTCATATTGTACGCAATCTTTGCTAAAGAAAAACATATATTTGTTTATATTTCGTTGTAGATAATTTTCTTACGCAGCTGTTGCAATTATTAAAGCAGAGTTCCCTTTTTCATCTTTTTCCTGAATATCGGCACCAGCTTCAAGTAAGACATTTATGACAGCAATATAACCTTGGTATGACGCAAGTAATAAAACTGGTATACCATTTTGTTTCAGGTCTTTCTTTAATGACAAAAATAATATACTGATTCTATATTTTAAAACTAATTTACTTAAATATTGAAAGTTATTTTAGTGATATCACATTTAAAGATTCTGAATAGAAATTAAGTAACCACTTTCATTAGAAAGTTCAATTGTGAAATCAATTTTGTTTATTGTTTGTTAACAATTTATTTGAAAATAATAAATTGCTTTATCATATTTTAAGTAAATGCAGGCAATTATGAACGCACTAAATATGAATTCATTCATTTATTCCTTCAATCAATAGATCAATTAATTAACTAATTTAAAATTTCTGTCGTTTTCTTTTGTTACTTTTATGTACACTTAAATGTATTCTTTCATGTTTTCAGATTTAAATATAAATCAGTTGAATTAATAATATCAAGAATATAAATAATTTTGCTATCAAAATTTGAAATATAAGACTTAAATTGTTGACAATAAACGAAATTAAATGAAAGTAGCCGAAATTTGTTAAACTTACAAACGCGGGACAACGCTGCAACATCTGTTCGACGTCTGCTGCATTGCCCTGATTTACTGCGGCAAGAAATCTTTGCTCATCACTCGAATCAGCTGATTGATTGCTAAGAGCTTCAAGAAGTAGAAGTCCAGCCAATGCTTGCATTAGATTAACTTCTCCATCTTCCTCATCATCACTTTCATCATCCTCTGTTGGGTCTTTTGATTGTTTGAAAGTATGCAATATGTATTTTAAAAATTGGCGTATGTTAATAATGTTCTGTATCTACAAAATTGCTATGTCTATACATTGTCTGTTAGTCAACGAAATTCTAAAGATAATGAATCTGTTCTAAATTCTAAACTTATCAAAAACTGTAAATACAATTATGTAATTGAACTCAACTATCCCAAAGCAGCGGTGAAATCCAAATTGTTGTAATTTGTTGTCTTTAAAGGAAGTAACAACTATTTGATAAAATTACTAGGTATTAGTTGTTCTTCATCTTGGTCTATGTCTTCACATTCTTCGTCTTCATCGGAATTAGATTCTGAATCAATGTCACCTTTTTGAACGGTTATAAGACAGGCTGGGTGAAACACAAACCCGATACCATCATCAAAGATTACACCAACATCCCCATCTTTGTCAACAACTGACACTGTTGCTATCTGATTCATAACCTTATTGAGGAAACAAGTACAATAAAGTAAAAAGAAATCATGATATAAATATAACTTAAATACAGTGTTTGTAACTGTTACAACAGAATAAAAAACAAACAAATAAGCATACTTGTATGTGTTGTTTAAAATATGCTTTTAATATTTCAAAGATGGTTTTCTACATCTTAACCTTTTTCAAGTGCGATAAAAATATTTTTCCGAGAATTAGATGATACATTGTATTAGATAATTGAAAAGACAAGTTTTGTATTGGATTTAGATGTTTAACTTATTTATACGTCTAGTAAAGCTCTTCTTGATTGTATGCAGAAATTAACATGTCATTTACCTCTTCCATACTTTCATCCCAACCGCCATGTTTTCTCTGTAACCGTTTTATTTTGTCCCGATTTCCAATAACCTTCACTTTATCCCCTTTTTCATGAATTGGTACCTATAACGTAGTTATATGATACACATTACACCTTTTTTATATGAACAAGGTTGTGGGGTACATTTTATCATGCTATTGTTTGGTCAAATGTGTCTGGACCTTCTGAATCATTTAGCTCCGAATGGAAGCAAACGTGAATGAACACAATGAATCAAATATGATAAACAAGATCAACAATGAACGCAACCCCATATGACTCAGCAACAAGAACCAGTGGCAAGGAGCCCAGGAGGGCCCCGAGCCGTGATTGCAATTTTCACAAATCTAATGTTTATAATTCTTTTTATGGATCTATCATGATACTAGTGTCTTCATCTAGAGCAAATCTACCAATTTGTTTTTACAATGCTGAGAAGAGAATCAGTCAATCCGTAATGGTTTACGTTACCTTACAAACAGCCGCTTTGACCAAGATAACACTGTCGCCACCATAATCAACGTCAACATCGCCTTCGGAGGTAAACCTGGTCACTTTTCCAAGTTCTCCTATCACCTAGAAGCATAATTTTATCGTTAAAATGTTATCATAACATACAGGTACAAAATGAGGACAAATATGAAAATAAAAGAAAACTACATGTCGTTTTTATTCCTTAAAATGTTCAATAGAATTGGAAACTAAAATAAGTTTGTTTATTGCAGTAATTGTAACCACAACACAACAAAACAGCATGTTAATAGTTCAACAAATTTAACACAACATGTAATCGCTAAATTATAGGACATTACTTCTTCCATTCGGTTGCTCCAATTCCGTCGAACTTGTTGAAGTTGCTTCAATTGATCTACAGTCACTTCCACACAGACCACATCTCCTACACTTAATACATCAGCCAAGATTTTATCAACACGCCTATGCGTATCTAAATCAAGAGAAGCGAGGTGTCCTGGATAGAATGATCCACCGGGTGCTTCTTCTATACATGTCAGGTCAACATGACCTTGGTAACCTATTCTGTATACGCCAGTATATCCTTTATTCCAGCGAACTCTTACAGCATTTCTATCTGAAGCGTCTTGTCCAAAATTAAGAATATCTTCGACTGTTCCATGATGTCCAGGTCCACCTTCAGCATAAACACAAAACTCGTTTTAATAAAATAATTTATATTGGTACCAATTAATAAAATAAGTACATCAAATATGAAAATGGCGTTAAGTATGTATCTAAACTTTTCAGAAAGCCAATATATTCATTCATTTGTTTGTTTTTATTTGTTTTAAAATCAACGCGTCTGTTTATTAAGTAGAGTAAGTGTTATATACATGTGTCACCCTGGTTATCAACTGATTATAATAAAAATATAAAAGCATGTTTAAAATTTTTCTAAACTGTTTGCAAAGACATAAATTGTGTTTCTCACCATCTTGATCCCGAGATTCCCAATCAGGTCCTCTTGCCACAATTGCATTTGGATAAATTCCAAGCGCTCTAGCCTTCTGACTGGTTAGCCGTTTTGGCAACTGTATTCTGTACATATTTGTAAAATAAACTTCCGTTTTGCGATAAAGAAAATTTACAAAAGAATAAGTAATACCTAGTTTACATACTGAAGCGTGTGTTATAAAATGAATTAACGACTGTTATCAAAATCATCAACATGAATTTTGTTATACCTATCCAGAGAAATGACCTAAATTATGTTCATCTTGTGTGAAAAGTAGAAATGAATATCTGACGAATAGATAAGTGGCAAAACATTGCCAACAGGATCAACTTTGATTACTCGGTTAGATATTTATATGCACTAAGCTATGCTTGATGTTATTAGAACAGACTGCCTATACTGCAATTAGACACATAGTTAGATGATTGTTTAAGTTGCAGGTGTTTTTTAAAACTAAACAAGGAGTTCGTCGAAGAATGAGTGCCTTTATTAGAATGACTATGGTCTTGTTTTCTAATTTGCATTTCAGATAAAATGCTTAATAAATGCAATGTAACTGATCAAAGGAACAAATTTGAATACTCATAAACTGTTGTACATTTATTTCATACTTACGGTTCAGATCCGGGATAATCTACTCTAAGAAATATATGTGAGGCATTGTGTTTGTCGTCATGGTAACAAATACTGCACAAATTTGTATTCGGACAGGTTGAGCACTTCCATAATGTTCCTACTATACAAACTTCTTCACACGATACACATCCACTGTTAGGATGTGTTATTCCTAGTACGATATTAATGATGTATAATTGAATAACATTACTTGGAAAAATAAATGCTAGTGATAAGGTATCCCCTGAAGTTATGTATCTATTTATTTATTTATCATTTATTTATATATTTATTTATTTATTATAAATGCTCTGCAAATAGTTGCTGATCACTTGTTGTATGAGCCTTTAAATTGAGCTAATTTTCCTTCCTGGAATGTTTAAAAAGTCAGTTTGACTGCAAATTTAATTGTAAGTTCCTAATATTGCATGAAAATTAGCGCTGAATATGTCGCTTAAATGTCCTAATTATATTATTAAAATAGTTATTTAAATGACGCTAAATTGAAAAGTGTTGCAATGTTTTTCACTTAAATCAGGCTATGAATAGCACAAATATAAGATTTTCAATATAATTATCTTCACTTTTGTCATTGCCTTGGCGTCTTAGGTTTTCAATGTTGAACCAAGCTTTAAAAATGAATTTTAAATCAATATCAACAACAAGAAAAATGTGTTTTTAAAATATGTTAGTTTATATACTTAAATAGCGATGATTAAATGTACAAAATAACCTTAAAAATAACGATCAACGACTGAGTTGAAAGTATAAAAAGCTTTGTTAAACAAAATTTTTGTGTAACAATATTTCAATACCTATACTTGCTGAATCAAGTATTCGCAGTTCATGTGTACCATTTCTTACTGTGCAAACAGATGTTGACCCCATGTCCCACTGAACCTTGACTGCGTCATCACCCTCTCCATCAATTACAGTTCCTACATGGTCAGTTCCGCCATCTTGGTTACCATGTTTCCAATCAGGTCCTCTTACTACTCTAAGACCATTTATCATATTCTCCTTTTGGTGTTTGATTTCTGAAATTGTCTACAAATCAGCTCCAGCTTCTGTTAAAGTGACATTATGCCCATCAAAGATTATATAGTGAGTGCAGAGGTGAAAGTAAAAATAAGTTTTCATTTCGCCACAATCTATTTAATAATTAAGAAATTTTCTTCGAATGAAAAAAATAACACACATGGCCAAATGACATTTCTATCAATATGCATCGAAAGTTACCTGTACCGTTCACTTTATAACAAGTGTGGGGCGGCGTTCTTATATTTTACGCAGATTTGTGTTCAATCTTTAACATTATATAAATAACACATTGGTTTGTGGGTAAAATACTGTTACCTGTCACCCGAGGCGTAGCCGAGGGTAACAGTATTTTTACGAGGAATGATATTTTTACTGTTACCCATAAACCCATGTGTTATTTGTTTTATTACCCCGAACAAATACTGTGATGATCTGAATTTGATAACTAAATTAAACTGTAACAAAAATAAAACAAGAGTTGCAATAACTAAACTGTTTACCTTGCAAGTTTTAAGTGTACTGTAGGCCTGCTTGAGAAGCTGTTTTTCTTTTATTCTTTAAGCAAGTGATAATATCTACCGGTCATAAACATACAATAAGCTGTGTTTTATTTAGAAAACAAAACACTAACCCATTAATAAGGTTCTGATCTGTGAAATCTCATCCTTTTGGATCCAGAATATTCTTCGCATGGTTTTTGATAAAGTGCATTTACAAAATAACGATGATATCCTACAGATGTCTGTCCACCAACTCTATCTGTAACGTTTCACTGGTTAAAATTGCTAAATTATCCTTTGTTGCATGCTTTAATAGTCTGCATGTTCCAGTTTGACACAAAATTATTCACATTACAATTACTTCCGTTGAAAACGGATGTTTATTTTTTGACTATTCAACAAGAAGATATTTTATACGCGAAAAGAACTCTACTGTAGGGTGCAAAGAACTAAATTCTATGAGAGTCATAGTTACTTTGGTGATGCCCTATGCCCTATTGTCGAAAATAAGAATGAATCAAGGGGAAAATGGCGGCCATTTTATTTCATTTCTTTTTTTGAAAATAGACCACGTGACCAGATTTTATACTGTTACCCATGTAACAGTACAAAATTCTTAGTCACATGGTACACTTGCATTAACAGTAAGAATAACTCCCAGAGGCCTATGGGAAATTAACATTACGAAAAAAGTGAGGGTTAATAAATTCAAATATCAAGTGTTGGTCAATCACAATAACAACAGTTAATCTCTTTAGATATATATAGTCAATTAAGCATACCTTGACAATGAGAAAATGAGCATAATGTCATTTTTATATTTATTGGTTAACATAAATTTAAATCGATACAGGTAATTTTACATTGAATATATATCATATTATTTTTTTATTGATATTTGACTCAAACAAGGAAGTAGTTTAAATATTTTTCACTTTATTTATTGCTTAATGTAAAAGCATCGTAAAGAAAAACAAACATATTGGTACTTGTTTTTCTATCAAGTGGTTTATGCTACAATGAACTAGTTTCGTTTTTCAAAACTGTTGGTTGATTTTATTCTAAAGAAAGATGTTTTGTATAAAATGTAATAACGAGTTTTTGTCTAAATGTTAAATGGTATCAATTGTATATTCTGTGAAATAAAAGTAATAAAATTGCCAAACCTTCGCCAACCTTGTGAATTCCTTACACTGACATTGACGAACGGAATTTTATCAAACGCAATGATGCATTAAACGGGTTTCTATTTATAGTTTATTGAAATTCAATAACTACTTCCTTCTTTGGAAAATCAAAAATCGAACACCCCCTGCGTGTTACGACTATTAACATAGGTATTGAATACTTTGGTTATTAATAAGTAATTTGATAGTTAGCGTTTTATATAGATTAGTCGATCATTACGTTTGTAAATAGGTAAACTAATAACCGACCTTTAAATGTAAATAATGTTATCAAGGACAAACAATCGACTAAATTTATAATGTAGGCTATTTGTTTACTTATTACTTGTTTAAGATTGAAAAACGGGTTTAACTTTTTTTAGAAACGTATATGATGCTATGATACCGTCAATTTAAAGCTAATAATTTAACATATAGTTTGAGAAATGAATGTGATCAGATTCGTTTTTTTTATCATAACACTACTTTAAGTAATATAGACAATAGATTATATTGATTTGACATTTCTGCAGTATACATGTATAATACCTTATTAATGCTTTTATATGAAAAGTCAATTGTTTATTGCGGACAAATGCCATAAAGCCACTCAACTAATTCACTGATCGTATCTGTATAAATGTTATCGTAATTTTGTTAAAAACTTTACGTTATATCACAAAACAATCAAATAAGCTGATTAAATGTCATGTACATGTAATTAAAAGGTATAACATTACGCTAATTTTACAATTCATATCTTAAAGGAATGAATTGGTTTATGTAAATCTATATTTGCTGCTTTTTTACTGCCAATGTACGCAAAAAATAATGATAAAAAGTAAAATATAAATTAATCAAATGATCTACAGAAACTCATTTTTGAAAGTAAACGATTGTTTGACTAGTTTTGATAATTGAATGAAGGAACACTTAGGAAACAGATAAATGAAATACATATTTTTATGTATATTGATATTTGAGTATAGTGAGTGAGTGACTGAGTGAGTGAGTGACTGAGTGACTGAGATATTTCTATTTACTTGTGGTTTTCCGCTATGTTGTTGAGCTTTATCAGACTGGTGTTGTTTATTTATTCTTTTTTTGTTTGGGAGGGGGGTAGCGGGGGTAATATACACATATTTCTTCATTGTCTTATTTACGCAATATCGCATTAACAAGAATGAGATGCCTAACGTAGTTTTTTTGTATTTTTTCTTTAATTTCTTTATGTCAAGTCGCGTCTTCTTAATTGACACATTGCTAAAATTTCCTTTTGGCGATTTCAATGCTTTTTACGGATAATCATGAAACAATGCCCTTGCCGATAATATCATCGCTATCGAGTAATCTGTCTCCATGACAAGAACATAAGCGCATTTTATCAAATACACTGAGATTTTAAATGACACTTTGATTTTGCTTGACGGTAACTTATTTTGTTTTCCTTCATTTTTTAATTTAGTTTAATGATCCTTTGATAGTTCCAATGTTAAGCTTTTTAGTAACTTATGCAATTAAAAAAAAGATTTATATTTAAAGCCCTATTAGTCCCAAAATTTTTATTATTATTTTTCAAAATATTTATTTTTTTTTTCTTTTTACAGTATCTTAATTAATGTTTTTGATTAATTACGTTTTTCATATGACCAGAAACGTATGCATGGAATATGATAAGACTAGGAATAACAATTTACCATTTTTTTAGTTTCATTTCCTAACTTTATATTCAACAGAAGTCTGCAAGTGAATAATGTTAGTCTTGTTTCACTCACATAATTATTCTTATACTTGCTTGGTATTAGATTCCTTACCTAACATATTATTATAAGCAATATTTACTCAATTTAAATCCGTTTATAAGTCAAATTAAAACGATAGGAATAAGACTTATGCCCTTGTTTTATTCGGAGCCCGAATTCATCTCTAGATATTGGTTGTTTCAACGACAAACAAACAGCACAAACCGAATTTATTCATCCCAAGTGCAACACATTAAATGAATATGAAAGCAATTACGTTCTTCCTGAGTCTTACTGTAAATTAAATTGCAAAATTCTTTTGGAATCAATGACAGTTTCAGCAATAAAATAAATGTACACACTTAAAGAACAATAACTTAAATGTTGTCGACTAAGTTTTACCCATGTACCTGTGCTGGATGAATAAATATTTTGAAATTGTTAACGATGAAATATATGTCAAAAACATCACAAATTATTCATATATTTTCTGATCAATATTTACATGTAAACTGCTGAGGAGGGTACACATTTGCGAATATTTGCTTCCTAACCGACTACAAAGTTATAAAAATAACCAAGATATATGACGTCAGATATTTCCATAAATTTCAAAATAATAAAATGAGTTGTGAATTTGGTTTAGTCTTTGAATCAAACATACAAATAAAGTAAAGGTGCAATTCTCATAACATTAAGAAAAAACGAGAAACGAAAGTTTCTATGAAATGGCGATGATAACAAACAATTCAATATCAAGTACTTTTATAATCAATTTATAATATAATCCAATTTTCAAACAAGTTTGCTGATATATCAAAAACTACTCGTTCCTTCAGGCAGAAACTTGTATGCAAGCTTAACCTTAAAATGTATTTTTGTCTATACTTACATCTTTATCAATAAGCTCCTTAACTGCTATAGGTTGATTTTGCTATCTTTCAATTTATTACATATCATGTAATAAAATATGTTTCAATCAAAATGTTAATGAAATAAATTGCTTTTGTAAAATTATTGAAATAGTTGAATTTCATAAATTTTAGGAACATGTTCTCCGTTACCTTTGTGACTGCTTATATTACAATTCAGAATGGTATGCTATTATATATAATAGTATACTATGTTACTTATCCTTTATGTAGTGAGTAGGCTATCAAGCTAGCCTACAGAACGTCGTTTGTTCTACCTATGTATATGTTCGTGCCTGCAAAAATGCACATGAGGGCACCTGAGGTCTTCCTCCACCAATTATCCTGGAAAATTGCTGCATGACCTATACTGTGTTGGTGCGACGTAAAACCCTAACAAAAATGTACGTATACTCATTATTCTAATTATTGGTAAGGTTAAATGAAAGGTTATGATATTGTGTTGCTACTATTCGACAAGACAGACACAGACCGATTGTTTGAATATTAAGGTTACATGAACAGCCATATGACTGAACAATAAACACCCAAACGATGTTATTGGATTATTGACTACTGATTGTTCTTCTACAGTCATACATTTTCAAGTTTTTTCATGGGACCATTCCAAATTAAAATTAAACCTATTAAACAAAGCATGGTAAAAGTTATTGAGAACATTCACAAATGGAGTGATTGTTTTTTTATTCGGGGACCAATGAGTTGACCAATATGAGAAGAATA